AACTTACAGTTTTTGAAAAATGGTTTATGAGATCTTTTGTATATAAGTGAATGGACAATTTTATGTCTGAAGAACTCATGAAGTAAGATCAAAGGTAAATAAGTTTTTAGAAATGTAAATTTTAAACTGAGTTCCAGAATATATAAGGCCCGAGATATCCCCTGCAGCAGTCATTTGTCTAAATGAACTCCAGAAAAGCCCTGTTCTATTTACCTGCAGGTTCTTTGTTAATAATTGAGGTTATCTGTCCTCTGATTTTTTTTTTTTTTTAAACTCTGATACAGTCAAAAAATGGTAGCTAATGCAGAGGCCAGTATCTTCCTGCCAATGAAGGTAGATGCTGATTTACAGCACTGCCCGCCCTGCACAACGTTCTTTAAATGTTAAATGGGCAGATAATTTCCTTCCTTATTTTCTCAGCATAGCTGGAGATTAAGGAGGAGGAGGACATTTGAGCAATGCTTCTTAGCCAACTGAAGTAAACGTTGGAATCCCTGCAAATCATAAATTATCAACTACACATTTTCAACGGAGCATTGTTGGTAACAAATAGTAAATGAATGTGGTAACAACGAGGTGTGACAGCATATCTATTTGAAAACTAATCATACATAAGCCAACGAATGCTTTCTAGTGTACAGAAAGTATGTCACTACCTGCTCATATACATCTGATATGGGTCATTGAATTGCAGTATCAGTCACTAGTGGTGGTATTTATTTTAAGATAAAAACTGTATCCAGAAATGCAGTCAATGTAACCTTCTTGTCTGAAAAATAGCCCCTTAGAAACAGTAGAGAAAATAGAATTCCTATTATTCCTATTATTTTGAATCTGTATTTGTTCTCATCTAAACCCTCTAATCTTTTGTGTTATTATTTGCTAATGTTCCCAAAGAACACAGTTTCTTCTCGTCCCTATAGATCTCAGTTGTTTTCTGCAACAGCTTGTGACTTACTCCTTATGTGACCATCACACTGGAAAAGTGGACTTTTGGATTTATGAAAGAAATCAGGAGCAAGATAACTAACCATAGACCTTTACAGCTGGGGAAGTGGTAGTGACCTACGATCTACATTTAAAAAACAAAAAGGACAAATTTCTTTCCCCAGTGGCTACTTAAAAAAAAAAAAAAAAAAAAAAAAAACCAAGCAAACTTTCTTCTCCTGTCAATATAATGAGTAGTATAATAATATTTTTAATTCTCATTTGAAGTTGGGTTCTTACTTCAGCTTCTCAGGAGGCTATGCAAGAGTCTGGTAATAATGGAAAGATGTCACCAAACAGTGACCTGGGATTATGAAGAGTCTGTGTCCACAAAAAGGCTAGTGCAATATTTTTGTAACCTCTCAGTGTTGCAGATTTTGTAACTTCAACAAAGCATAGATGACATAATCTTAATGATTCTATGATTCTATGACATCATTTAGAAAAAAAGAGTCCAGACAATGGGTATGACCTCATTTTAGTTCAGAGTATGCACATTCTTGGGCACGTTCTGTGCTTACCCTGTTGCTGTGCATCACTTGGGGTACACGCGTAGACCAATTAGACCAACCTGATGACTATCTGAGAGCAGAGCAAGCCCTCTGACGGATAGATGAGCAATCTCAGCTATGTTCTTCAAACTAGATTCACTTCTCATCCTGCCCTAGCCCATTAAACTTGCTATTTGAATGCTTAAAATACCAGTTTCTTTGCTGGTACATCAGATGAACATGTATTGGTACATCACAGCCTCAGAACTAGACAGTAAAAACACAGCCAGCGTGATGAATCACCCTGCAGTTCTAAAAGGCTGTGACTTCAGCTAAATAAAATCAAACCGAGTGATGCGAGTTTCAACCTGTGCCACAGATCAGTCCTTACTTTGAAGGGACCACTTGGTGCACATTAGCACTGCACACCTGCTGCTAGTGTGTTTAGTACATAATTAGTAAATCATACCCTGTCAGTGCTTTCCTTTTTCTTGGTGAGAAAGTCATTTTCAACACCTGCACACCTCTGGTTCTAAATTGACAAAAATCAGTTTCTGTGTTGTTTGTATCTCTGCTGGATCCTTCAGAAAGCCTTCGCTCCCTAAATTATCACTGCAAATGTAACAAGTACAATATATATGGTATTCCCCTTCTGAGATTTTCTATTATATTATTGTTTCTGATACTGTACTTTATTAAACACTTTACTACAAGCTACAGTAGTACGAGGCTGCTTTTGTGTGTTAAAGAGGATACATCTTTTCTATCCATTGCCCAGCTTTTCAAAGGCATCCTGCACCATGGAGCAACAGGAGTTCATCGTGATGTCTGCAGGAAGGGGGATGCCCCTCTCTGAGAACGTCAGATGCAACGACAGCACCTGATGGCTGAGCTGGCTGGTCTTAGAGGGGTTTAGTAGCCTCCAGACACATTACAAATAAGTCCCAAATTAAAACTTTCTATCAGATATGTCCTACATGTCATTTGAAAAGACCCTAGTCCAAGCCTGCCCAAGTTTTGACTTTTCAAGCTTTGACTGAAGAAATACGTAAAAGCAAAACTACAGAAGTGCAGGTTTCCCACCACAGAACAGCTGCAAAACATGGAATTTTACCTGCGCTATGTGCTTCACTTCTGCCTGGAATTGCCCCATTCCAGCCCTAAACCACACCTGGTAGGACTGGTGTCAACATATAAACAAAAATGAAGCTACAAGTGTAGGAAGAGTAAAGGCAGAGTGAGAAGCAAAATATACAGCATAATATATAAACAATATATAAAATATACAGGAAAACCTGACATTTTATTGAGTCATATGACAATGTGCATTAAGATATTAAAATTTTAGAGTTATTCCAGAGTCTTTAAGAACCCCCTTTTTACAGAGTGGGAAAACTTCACCTTGAATCACTCCGAATACCTTGCAGATATGCCATTTCCAGGCACCGTTTTGTCTCCTCTGCTTGGTTTTCCTCGGGGCTGGGCAGGGCCCCCACAGCAGCAGCACGGGGTGGCAGGGGCTCCACCAGCGAAGGGATGTGGGAAGCTTGCAGAGGCACAGGAAAGCCTTTTCTACAACTATTTCACCCTTAGAGAAACAGCAGGCGTTCGGTGCCTGTATTTGCCCTAGGGATCGGAACACCACATCTATCCACCTGGAAACCAGAACAGGCATTAATTGAACACAACAAAACTGTTACTTTGTGCCCACAGTGCAATATGCTGCCGGGACAGAGAATCCCCATCAATTAGTGCTCAGGCAAAAGCCAGGTTGCTGCTGCTCACTGAGGAGACCTGCCGGCCAGGGCCTGTCAGGGCCCAGCTGTGCCCAGGGCTCATCAGGCCCCACAGCCCGCTGGGAGGCCCGGCAGCCATAAAGAGCAGCCTCCCCAGGTTAGGGTGAGTGGGGCTGGAAGAGCCAAGGCAGATGGAGTGGAAGAGCTGAGCTGCTGGGTTCTTGGGATGCCATGAAGTGTCTGTGTGGCAGGCAAGGGGCAGGGACCTGCTCTGGAGCTGCGGCAGCAAGGTAAGGCCTCTTGCAGGTGGTCTTGGTTGATGTTCTTCCCTGTGGGAAGGTGCTTGTGTGGAACAGGTGGGTTGGGTGTCTCTGGGGGGTTATAATAATGGCTCTGCAGTGGGTGCCATGTTGAGTGCTGCTGTGATGGGGCTGCCTGTGAAGAGAGGTGCCGTGGGTTGGTCAGGGTGCTGCTGGTGTGGCTGCTGCAGGGGAAGGGTGTGTGGTCACGGCTCTCTGCCTGACCCATCTCTGGCTTGTTCAGCCTGGCATAGTGCTTCTTCCTTTGCACTTCTGTATGGCTTTCTCAGTCAGGAAAAGTAGGTGTAAATGGTGTCACCGATCTTCTGCCACTTGTCCTGGAGGTCCTCTAAGCCATGAGCACGGTGGTGCTCTGGGGAAGGATGGAGTTAAATGGGGCTCTGCCAGGAGCTTGGTCAGCCTCCTGTGGCTGCCAGGAGATGTGCTCAGTGTGCAAGGAAAGCCATGCTTCTGACCTGCTCAGAAAAGCACCCTGGTCCTGCATGTGCTGGATGGGTAAGGGTATTACAATAGCTAGGCCTCTAGCAGAAAAGGATTAAATTTTTCTGTAGGTTTATAAAATATAACTGGGCTTGAAGCTAGGATCACCTTTGGAAAAGTAGTTTATTCTGGCTCTTCTAATATCCTACTGAAATTAACTGACAACAGTAGAAATTACTATCCTGTAAGGAACAGATACATATCCCAATTTAAGAAAGATACAAGACCTAAAACATTCTCAAGTCTCTTCAAGGAAAATCAATACTTTCATTCGCTCTAAGCTTTCCCTGTTCTTGTTAATTTGTGTGCCACTGCAAACATCCTCTTCAGAATCAGAGCTAGAGACAAATTGAATGAGCCTGCTGGGCCTGGGTTCCTGCAGGCTCTAGGGAAATACCAATTCCTGCTTAGCTTTGAATTTTTATTTCTAGTTTCAGTAAGTTAATGTAACTTTCTATATTGCTTCCATCTTAACATATTGCAGAAAGCTCTTGCTTTGAGGGAGCAATAAACTATATAAATGAGCTGATACACAGGAAACAGCATCTGTCATGGTGGAGGTGCAGCAATTCTTTACTGAGAAGAGTTTTGTGAAGCTTACTGAATACTTGTAAAATATTAGGATGCTTAACAAGAAGCTGCTAATACATTAACCTCAGGGCAAAGAGTGAATGTAGTCTGCACCCTGCCTTCCTGAGCTTCAGGTGGGGTCTGCTTGCAGACTTGAACACTGGCATCTCTTCTCAGAACAGCAAAGGCTTACCAGTGTGGCTCTTGTTAATTTTAATACAATTTTCTTGACTGCCCAACTAGATCAAATAGTTCTTTGAGGTCTCATTTACGAGGGTGAGCTACTATGTGGTAAAGGTAAAGCACATTATTTGTCATGAAATTAGTATCTAATAGCTCATATAACTAGACATACCATTCTTTACAAAAACCAGACTAGGACCAAGCTGACTTCATTATGAACAAACACAATGGTATTTTTGTATTTATTAAATTAAAACCACACAAAATATAACTGCACACAAGAACACACATCTGATATTCCAATGTCATATTTCACAAAGAAAAATCTCTTGCTGTAACTCTTCCCTTTAATTAGCAGAAATCCAATTTCCAAACAGTCGTTTAACCACAAAGGCTTTAACCAGTCAAAACAAGACAAATTCCCCTTTCCAGGAATACATCATAATGACACACAGAGTTCAGAGGCAAGTTCTGCAGCCCTGAAGTAGACAAAACTTCCACAGTAAACTTGCCTGTGCTTGCCAAATAACAGAAATTTACTTATTTTCATAGTTTGTAATTTACAAGCAAACTTGTTTTATATTTTTAAATACTTAAAACAGATTTCACTTTAACAAGTATTTACAAAATCTTTACTAAAGATCAACATCCTGCATAAAGGTGACCTCAAGGATATATTGTTGCTACCATGCTACAGTTTGCACAGAAGGGGTAAAAAGGCCATTGCTAGTTTTGGAAGGCTTAAACCCTTTGATATAGCAGAAGGACATTAACCTATGGAAGGCAGAAGAGGTCATAATTTCAGTGCAATTACCCATTCATGACTTGTTTTAAGTACATCAAGATGATGAGTCCAAAAGACTTGGGTTTTGACTTATTGACCATTTAGTTCTTTAAGAACTGATTTCATGGAAAGTTTTCAGGCCATCACATCCGTCTTCTACTGGTGATACGAAGAAGTTGCATAGGGACCTTCCTCATTCTCCTCCTCTCTAAAAATAAAATTATCGTAATCATCAGATCAGGAACATACCATGTCTCAACAGTAAACTGTAATGGAAATGCAGATAACCAGTTTTCCTCGTGGATCAAAATAGGCTATCATTGCCTGACAGGAGTACTACTTGCAGTATGCTACTGTTCTTTATACATATCTGGAGTTCTTGTTATGTTGTTTCAATAACAATGCTGAAAACAAGTAAAGCCGTATAAATTCAATAACATCAGAAAGTTTAATGAGCTATTCTTGACACTATAGTGCCAAATCAAAAAATACTGTAAAGGCTAAACAAGTGGAGGACATGCTGTAGTTCTAGTTCTGTTTTCAATTTATTTTTTTAAAAAAGCAAGCTTTGTTTCAGCCTTTTGAATGGCAAGGGGTGCAGATGGACCAAATGAGGCAGTAACAGGAGCAGTCCATCATAGTTGTAGCTAGATCTGGTTCTTGATGCTGCAAGGATATTTGTTGAGTGGACTCCTTGATGTATACTCCCTGTACATCAATCAATATTGAGACTGATCACTTGGATTTTTTTTAGCAGAAAACAGTTGCCCACAAGTGCTATTGTTAATGCAATGACTGGATAAACCATGGTAGTGTTGCTATTAAAAATCCTCATGAAAGATCAGTCTGCCTACAGTTTACTTGACAATATTGCCTTTAAAAAAAGCGGTCACGTAAACCTCTTGCAGTGCAGTGACCAGTACTAATTCAAGCATGCTAGTTACTCCAAATACCATTTTCCACTACTGTAGCTTCAAAACTGTGTTCCTGAGAGCCTATTCTTAAAGCTGTTGCAAATCTTAGTGTTTTGGTGAGAATGGAAAGATTTAACAGTTGCTACACTGAACTTCAAAGGATTTCCAGTTACTTTTAATACTGTACATGCCTCCATACAAAGGTACAGTTATTCAAATAGTCTAATCTTATAAGGTAAAAACTACACATTTCAATAGTATTCCAAGCCCCACTCATGCATACTCACTTCTAAACATGATTATTTATCTACAATTTAAATTCCTTGGGAGGAAATTCAGTACCAGGCCCTCATTTTCCAAGTTATAACTTATGCAATATAGGAAATAGATATTAGTAGTAGCAGTGTGCTATTTGTGCAGTGTCACTCTCACTGTATTTGCTCTACTCATGGTGCAGCAAGGTCTAAGTGAATTTCCTCCTGCAAATTAGCCTGTTATTTTGCTGAGGTGATGTTGAAGTAATTACCTTCCTCTGGGAGGGACTGTGGTTTCCTGTCACCCAGCTTAACTGCTGGGTCAACATCTACTCTCATCTGTTTTAGATAAATATGTCTAATGATCTGAGAGTCAGCAAGGGCACATATTTTGATAGATGCTCTACGTTATTTCAAGTATAACAATGCAAGTGAAGGAGTCTGAATAGAGAAGGATCTATTCTTCCTCTTTCATGTAATCAATTCAAAAGAAAATGATCGACAAGCGTGCTAACAAGATGTGAAAGCATTCTAGCCTTCCCTGAGACAGTAGCTCCAAACCAGTGGTGTTCCGGCAATGGAGAGCTCTATGTGGAGTGCAATAGGTAATGAATTACCACCTCAAGCTGTCTTAGGGGATATTTCTCCAAATGAGGTTTGTCCAATTGCTAAATGCAATATACTGCTCCCCCTCAAATTTTCCTCTACTGAACTAAGTTTTTTAACTTGCCAAAAAATTCCTTAACTTCTTAAAGAAATGACAACACTATTCATTAGATTTGGTTCTGAAAAGTTACTCTTTAACATGAAAAGAATGTTGCTTGCACTTAAAATGGGAGTATGTGAAGTGAACCAGGATGGTGGAAGAAGTTTTGCATTAAATTTGCAAGAGCAAAGTATGTATCTACAGGTTTAACCTCTCTTCAGCTCTCTGTGGTAAGAGAAGCAATACCAGTTCCCTGCAGCCATACCCTTTATTGTCATGAGAAATGCCACTTTGGCATCGTGCACTAAGGCAATTTCTGTGGAGGATAAACAGGCTGGACAACCAGCCCAAAAGACTGCTTGTGAACACACTGAGGAAGCTGGTCTCAAGGACATGGGAAAACAAACACTATTGAAGTTCATTTGTGCTCTAAGTCTTTCTATAATCTCCATGGGATGCCTACATATGTGAGGGGATAATCACCATGGCAGAGAGGTCAAAAGGTTCTGCTTTTTCTATGAATAAAGTGTGTGGGAGCTCCTGGCTGTACAAGAGATAATGAAGAAAAGACAGAAGTCTGCATAGGTGTATCCAGAAAGGGAGGGACTGCATAGGGAAAGGAGCTAGGATTGCTTACCTGAAACTGCAATGTGGAGAATATTTACACAATTATGAAGCAATGTGGGACAGAAGAAAAATGCAATCATGCCTTGCTGTACACAGTCAGCTTCCACATAGGCCTTGGCTTAGTACTCTACTGAAAGCTGTGGGTTTGCTTGAGTAGTTGTTCACTTATATAGCAAGACATCTTGGAGAACACTGGCCTTCTAGCATTCATGGAATATTATGGCTATTCTATAAACAATGTATTGTGAGGCTGCCTTTATAACTGCTATATCAAGGCACCTGCTAATGGTGTGCTCTGAATGTATCTGGTGCATTACAATAGCATGGACTTGCTGCTGACAAATTAAAACTACAGATACCTCGCAAAGAGGGTTCAGCTTAGACTAAAAAGCCTTCAGGATGAGATTAAGATGTTAAATACTAAAAGTGGCATTTACCTGACATTGTCATCTTTCAGTTTTCTGGCTGCTTGTTTGGATAACTTAATCTGCAAGTCCAACCTCTGTAGGAAATCTTTGGCAGACAGTTCTTCTGGTGCAGTGGGCTGATTATCAGGTTCTTGAGGACTGGGAGAAGAACTACTTTCTTCCTGAACTGTCACTTGTCCTTCATCACAAGAAGGGGAGCTGTCAACAGTTTCATTCTCAGGAGACTCCAGTGAATTAAGTCCATTGAACAGTAATGGTTTATCTGATATAACAGGAATATTCAGGGTTTTCCTCAGAAATATACAGTCATTAGTGAACAGTTTATTTGCCCTCTTTATTTGTTCCATCTGAAAAAGATAAGAAAAATGTAAGTTGTTAGGCTTTGGCAAAGTATAAAGTACTAACTTTCTGAAGTAGTATAGTAACCTTTGGTTACAATAAATCTATATTTTCTTTACAGCAGCAATGACTTCAGGAAAGGATTTTTCTTTTTTTGCTAGGAGATATCAGTGTATGTTCTGTCTTAGCCTTGTTAACTCGACACCCTAGCTTCTTCCTTTTATGTACACTTGACTCCAAAATACTGGTCTTTCTAAAGCCTTGCACTACCTAAAGATGTTGTTCTTGAATAGTCTTCCAACCTCTACACAGGCTCACATGAACAACTTGCCAAAGAATAAAAATTCTATTTGCAAGAGTGCTGCTGATTTGGATTTATATTAAAGTAAGGCTCAGAATTGCTAGCAGCTGCTGTAGGTGAACTATTCTGGTAAAAAGCATGCATAATATAAACAAGGGGTGATAAAGTTACCCTGAGCATTCTAGGACAGCCTAGCTAGGAACAGCAAGCACCACAAGTCTTGGAAGAGCAGTACATGCCTTATCCAGAGTATTTCCCTCCTAGATGATGTAACAAATTCAGACTTCAGATGAAGTCCTGATTTTCAGTGAGAAGTCAGGCAGTGAAAAGCATGGAGGACTTTTAAACACTCTGTAATGCAGCTGCACAGGCTAGTGGCTACACTTATCCAGTAAACTGAATCTACAGCATGAACAACATCAAACTTATGTATGTCATAAAGCATGGTAACTACAACACTTTTAGATACTTTCTATGCAACTTTCAGCCAGAGTACTTCTTACAGCCTGCTCATCAGTACAGATGATCTCTTTACAGAGGCATGAAGACCCCATCTTTCTCAGAGTACTAATGAAATTTATAATAGCTACTCAGGTTGCTTTACAGATGAAGAAAAGCTCCCAGTAAATGTCCATACTACCTCCCTGCTAAGAATGTTGCTTAAGTTCTTACTCATCAAAATTTCCCTTTCAAGTCAGTAACAGTTTAACTAGCTTCCTATTTGTCAATTGCAAGCTTTAAAAAAAAAACAAGCACACATCTATATCCATGACTATGTTACTTTTAAGCTTTTGTTATAACCTGAACTCATTATTTCCTTAGGAAACGTCTTAACTGAAAGAAAAATTACCATTCTGGTTCCCTGGTGACTGCAATAAGCAGAAATCCCTCATGACTACAGTACTGCAATGATAAATGCCCTCTAAAGAAAACCTGCTTGAAACAAGTATAAAGGGAACTGAAAATACCTCTTGCCTGCTTTAGAAGTGTTTTTCATTGTTGTTAAAATAAATGGAGCTAAACCAAGTAAGAATAAAAGACTGTTAAGTCTTCTAATAATAGGACTCTTACTGCTAGTGTAATTGCCCAGAAAAAGCTGAGTGCTCTAAGCACTAGCCAGTCACCACTTCAAAGTCTGAAGTATCTTGAGTTCACCTTGGACGATGGAAAAATTGCTCTATCATCTTATCCTTGTCAGTCTTAGACTCTTTTAAACTTTGCTCTGCCACTACTTGCAGTCCTTCCCAATTGTAAAAAGAGGCTATTGTTAACAGATAAATAACTGGGTTAACACGCCTGTGCATTTCTTACACTGGATATACTAGCAGAAGAAGCTGTCTAAAACCAAGGGAAAGCAGTAGAGATGTTGATCTTTCTTCTCTGTGCAGCTGTGAGACTATAACCATGTGCAGAACTGGAATAAGCTGCTGCATGCAATGTAGACCTGCACTGTGTGGCATGAGTATCTGCTGCAGTGCCTCTACAGATTTGGTGTCATGTATGGATGCACTTGCTTAGATTTCATCAGGCTTCCAGGACCTTTCTCCCTACAAATAAACAGGAGATTGTCTCTAGAAAGCCTAGGCGTATGGGGAAGTAGTGAAAACAGGGCAGTAAAGCCCAGCAGTAAGGTATTTCTACCCATTAAATATACAAAAATGGCTTTTTCTACTTAAAGGCAACCCCAACCTGTTGCTGCAGATGGCTAAAATGATGAATGATTAGGTTTAATAATCCCATTCAAACGAACATCCAGTGTCAGGCAGTAAGTTACTACAAGTAAGAGAAGCTCATTACTCTTCCAGTTCCTGAAGCCTGGAAACAATTTTCAGTAAGGCTTATACAGTACAGGGTGTAAATTCTTTCCCAACCTGAGTACCATCTGAAGGGCATACAGGAAGCTTCACCTGATTTAGTAATGAGACCTACAATGGCCATCAGATGCTAGTTTAAATGTCAATTGTCAAAATCTCTAGAATTTCTGTCTTGATGGGTATAAAAAAAAGTTTAAAATGCTAGCTGTAGCTTTTCTCTAAAAATACAATACAAAAGCTGAAAACAGATCTCAGCTACAGGGGAGCTGGAAGGTGATGCTTCAATAGCTGATAAATAATGCACTGTACTGCTGTTCTCTACCCTACTTCAGTGTAACTCTACCTCTGGCTATTTCTTCCTATAGTACCCTTTGAATACTATCTTGTGGCATCTGGAGACTTTGCACCTCTGTGCTGAGTAACAATGAAATTGGAAATGCTTGGTTCTAAAAAGAACATCCCTCACAGTCTTGAGCAGGTTACTCAATACATGTAATATATACTGCTCCTTCTACAACTCGGTATGACTCCATACCTTCCTAGGTGTATGGAGAGCAGGATTTAACACTAGTTTTCTCAGAGCTAGGAAAACTGAACTAACTTCTGTTAACTACAGACCAATAATAGTAGAAGCATGTACTAAGGCCTTAGCTCTTAATACTTTAACTGAAGCTGCACTAATACAAAAACTGGTGCTGAACTAACCCATCAAAACTGCTTCTGCTCACAATGAAACAAATAGTCCTCTTCCTTCTCCCCTCAAAAGGGATACCTCTGTATGATGGAAAACAGCATCCAACTGAACCATAAATATGACACTAAACATTAATTCCCAGTGTTAATTTACCCAACAGTGTTCAAAGGAAGATCTAATGAACACAGGCCATAGGAGAACAGACAGTATCTTGGGGAGAGGGAGAGGGGTGAAGGGCAGAAGATGAGGCCAAACAAAGCACACTGATCTCTCTCTCCCTCAACTTCTTCATCCATCTTAAAACTGCTATGCTATGTCATGCCAAGGCAGGCACCGGACAGGATGTCTCTTGCTTTCCCCTGTGGTTTTCCTCACTGGGACATACTTTGCAGCTTCTAAAAACAGTAATACTGGATGCAATGGCAGCCAGAGATAATTCTGATGTTGCCATTACAGCAACTCTCACTTCTAGCCAAGTATACAGAATGCAGGAAGCGAATTCAATGACTCTTTAGAGGAAGTCAGTCCTTGTTGTTGTGTAAACACATAGGATTCTTCATTATGCTAAAAGCAAATGTTTGCATACATTCCTACCCCGGGCTGAAACCCATTAAAGCAGAAACACAATGGCTGATTTCAGCTAACTTGGCATTGCTCTTAAGGACATTTCATGTCAGTTTAACCTTCCTCAACTGAAGTCTATAATGACGCAGCTCTAGTTTCTCAAGTAGAATACTAGCAAATTTAAATCAAATAACAAATTAGATGTTTTTAAAAAAACCCCAGCATTCAACTGAAGTCTATAATGACGCAGCTCTAGTTTCTCAAGTAGAATACTAGCAAATTTAAATCAAATAAATTAGATGTTTTTAAAAAAACCCAGCATTTATACTTCAAATGCATCATTAGCACAACAAAAGGTTATGAAACTCATATGATGAACAAAGTTTATGGTTCATATTTTCAGACTGTACAGGTTTGATTCACAACTTCACTTTAGCTAAAATGGAGTTGTAAAGTGTTTAGAAATGCCTTTTTTCCAGAAAACTACTATTTTTAGTAATCTGTGTATATCTTTCACTTATTGCAGTGAGCAAATACACTTCTGAATGAAGAACAACATGGCTAAATCATTCAGGCCAGAGACTTTATCCATTATGGAAAGCACTTCCGAAACTAAAAATTCAAATCCAAAGAGCAGCTCAGGTCACTTTGCCCACTATTGGGGCAAAGCAAACTTTTAAAAATGTGGATGAATAGAAATCCACAATGCCATTAATTCTGTTGCCAGCAAGATTTGGTCAAAAGTGGCTTAACCTTTCTTAAGGGAAGAGAAACAGACTTTGAACCCTTTTCATAACAAAGGCTGAATACTGTTGAAGTTGCTGGAAGGCTTCAGTAGATCCTTCAGAACCAGAGAAGGAAAGGAAACCCATTCTAGTTAACCAACTAAGTTGGGACCTCTTCTGGAAAGAGCCCATCTGGAAGCTGCTCTTTGCAGGCAATGTGACAGTGACATTGTGTACTAGGGCCATACTGTTAGCTACGCTCATCAGGTGCTTGGCCCCAAGCAATTCTGCATGTTGGGACTACTGAAGCTGCATAGAGGTATGTCAGTTGGTAGCTCACTAGGCCCCAAACAAGCTGGAATGAAGGTAGGGTAGGTGAGGTCTGCTCTGCAGAGAATGGCAGGGTATGGGGGCCTGCTGGTGGACCTTATTGGACCCTGCACATCTTAAGTTGGCATAAGTGTTTCAACATTTTCCACAGAAGTAAACATCTGCTCTCTTCCTATAGAGAAGAAAAAGCAGCAACACTTTCAAATTAGCTGTAAATCACCTCTAGGCTGGTAGGCAGATGACAATGGAAGAATTTTGAGCCCTGAAGCTACTGGCAGAAATTCTTTCCTCTTGTCACAGCCTGGGGTTTAACATCAAAATAGTGATTCTTCTCAAGATAAGTCTAATTACATTGTGTTTTTCAATGTGAAGTGACTGCAGTGGTGAACGGGCATGGGGAACGGTGCTGGCACAGGTGTACGGGTGGGAGGGAGTGCCTCTCCCTTCT